CTTTTTGGTTGGGTTGTTGAACTGCTTAAACAGGATCTCTCGCCGTGCGCCATTGCTGCTGAGGTGGGACGCAGTAAGACATTTGGAATTTCTTAAATGATCCTGAGAGTTATGGAACAACAACGTCAAGTGGAAGACCCCCAAAAATTTCACCAACACTCAGCCGGAGGATCCAGTTGCCTGTCTGTCAAGACACTGGACGATCTTCGACCCAAATCAAGGTTGTTACTGGTGCTGACTGCAGCTCCATAACCATCAGACATCAGAGACTGAAGAGCTTCAAAAACAAAAAATGTCTTCAAAGGCCTCATCTCCTTGAAAGCCACAAAACTGACCGTTTGGACTTTGCAAGAGAACACCAGACATGTGACATTGAAAGGTGGAAGAAAGTTTTATTCTCTGATGAGAAAAATTTAATCTTGATGGTTTCCAACGTTACTGCCATGACAAGCAGATCCCACCTGAGATGTTTTCTACGCGCCACAGTGGAGAGGGTGCCATAATGGCCTGGGATGCTTTTTCCTTCAGTGGAACAATGGAGCTTCAGGAGGTGCAGGGGTGTCAAACGGCTGCTGGCTATGTCCAGATGTTGCAGAGAGCATCCCTCATGACTGAGGACCCTCGTCTGTGTGGTAACGACTGGGTTTTTCAACTGGACAATGCTACAGTACACAATGGCATTTTGCCATTTTTCAAGTGATCTTAAACTTTGGATCGGGACTGTATGTAATTGTTGCTATCTGCTGCACTCACTGCTGTTTTTCTTTCGTCGCTACAAAACTACACTGCTGTTTTGTTGATTTGTGGTAATCTGAATCACACAGGCTACTTGGAACAGAGTGAGTGGAGTCAAGTGTAGCTCCACTATTGTCATTGCAAACTTTGCATACTGCTACTACTGTATTTTAAAGTTTGTTGGTCCTTGGGGACTTCCACAGAACCCTGGGCACCTAGCGATTGCCTAGTTTGCCTGGTTGTAAGCTGAGCCTCTGAATGAATGAATGTACTTTGTGAGTACTGAGTACTGTGTGAATGTACTGTGTGGGGCATGCAAAGACAGCTGAAACTCTTTGGAACTTCCCTAAATAAACCAAAACTTTGATTTCCTCTGACAAAAACCAAATCATCCAGTTGTCCATTGCAGACACTATTTAGTTTTCTAGGTCTTTATCACCCACTAGTGTTGTTTCACAGGATAATACTCCAACACTAGTACTTGCTATTTCATGCTCTTGCCACAAGATGGACACCTAGACACAATCCTGAATTTTCATTTTAACTTGGGCACTAAAATCAAGTTGTTGTTGTTTTTTTTTTCGTGTGTGTGGCAAGGCCAAGAAATCCAATTATCACAAATGATCAGTACCATTCCTCCATTTCTTTTCCCATGAGTTCCATTATAAAGGAACTCTGCTCACTTACACGAGTATAAAAAGCATTTCACAAGAAGATCCTTTTCTTGAAGTTAACTTTTTCTTTATGTGCTTATCATGTGTTTGATTTTGAACATGCAAGACTCAGTGACACTAATTACAAATGTGTCTATATTGATATTGCCTCAGCTTGTAAGTCATCCTTTATAAACTAATTAAGAATATACCCACTCATTCAAAGACCCAGAGTCATTTTCATCTCAAGACCAACTTTTAATAAATTTTTACAAACTGTAATCTTCCAAAACATGTGGTATTACCTACAGTCATTTATGTCACCAGCTTCTAGCCTCTGTAATATTTAGTTTGTAATAGTTAACATCATGCAGGGCACTTGAGTGAAATGGTGACCCCATCCACCCCAATCTACTGTACGTGGCATGTGACTAAATTGCACCTAAGAAGGCACGACACAGGGCCAGGAATAACCCCATCTTTGCAGCTCAGACAACGTCAGCGATGGTCCAAGAGCTATCGTAAAAGCCATTACTCCAGAGATGAAGTAATGCAGATAAGTGTTGAAGAATGGGAAATATAGCAGACTTAACGAAGAACAAATGCAAATAGGGATGACAAACCAGTAGCAATGACAAGACATTTGACTTGTGAAACATGCCTAGGACAGTAGCATGGCATGCATGTATCATATTCCACCTTTCATCTCTCAATCATTTTTGGGTGCTTGACTTTTTTTTCCCTGGGGCTTGTTGACTGCTGTGGATTGGACAGGTGGCATAGCATGGCAAAGAGGTGGCTGCTTACCAGCCAATAAAAATAGCTGTGGTCTCCATGATGTCACCGGTGAGTAAATCATAGCTCCTGAGAGTAGGAAGAGAGAGACATAAAATGATTAAATAACTGCTAATCTCTGTTTTGCATGTTTGCACGAGAATTTTTTTTCCAAGAATTTCTCTTGAAAGTTTGTCTTGTTGTTTTTTGACCTAATTTGTCTAAGTTTGTGTCAGTCTCTGCATGTACTCTTTATGATTTTGTCACGTCTGCATGTTCAGATTCACGTGTAAACACTGAGAACGATGTTAAACCGAGCACAAGGAAAGACTGTTGCATTACTCAAGCCTACCATCCGAAACACTGCCATCTTGAGCCAGTCATACTGGCTGCAGTTGCCAGAAAGGGTGTACAAACTAAAGCCGGAGTCTGATCTCACTCCCATACCTGTCATTCTAAAGCCACAACACTATGCTGCTGATGAGGAACCTGATCTGTCGTAAATCTTCCCTGTTTGACCATGTGACACGACAAATTTCTGATTCTGCCCTCTGTCCACCCTCCGCATCTCTTTCCCCCCACCCCCTTGCCACCAGCATTGCCCTTCTAACTGCAGGCCTTGCTGGCACCCTGAAGCAGGAATGTCAGGCAGTAAGGTGACAATCCCACATGCTCAGATGAGAGGTCCTGTGTGCATCTTTCTTGTGTCTGTATGTTTTCTTTTGGCCTTACTGTATATCTGTGTGTGCTTTTCAACGAGTTTGTAATTTTGTGTGCCTCATTCCGGTGACCAATGCAGTTATGTGGCGGCAAAATTGTCTCAGCAATAGGATGTTAGGAATGTAGCACTTGTCAGGCTCTCTGAGGATGCTGTTAATTCACATTCTACCCATTTAATAAGGTTAGCCTCCAATACAGTGGGAATTGAGTATATTTAGCTAGGGAGCACATTGCATGTTGTATGATTGACTCCCCAGCAATAGTGAAATTTTATTTTCTGTCAGTGTATTACAGATCTGTTTAATAAGTATATTCTAAAAAAGCCTTTTATATCTGTCTGTCTACTTCTAAATAACCAGCGATTTTGCATATTTAAGAGCATTGATTCTAAAAATAAACCAAAACATTATTGCTGACTTCTTTGCAAATCAAACCTTGGTTTTAAATTTGTGAAAGCGTTTTTCCCAGCCCTCAACAGTACTGGTATTATTGCATGGTTGCTTGCTCAAGAAGGTAATTCTTGTAAATTAGTGCTGGAAGGAGCAACAGCTCCCTGATTGTGTTATTACCTGAAAATGGATATCATGAAATACTCATTTGGGGCGTGGCAGTTGTCAGAATTCAGAATAATATGATGATGATTATCTAAGGTACCTTCTAAATTATTTCTTAAATATTTCAAGAAATACAGAAAATTTGCTGTAAACATTGAATTGTAATGTACAACTTAAGACCAAAATTTTTTTGACAGACTGAGATGCATTTAGGCGACAGAATTGATTTTTTTTTTTTAACTTGTAGGCTCCTGAACCCATAGACTTCCTCAAATAAAATACATTCTATATTCACTGTAAAGACTGCTGTGGAAAATGGCGATTAATGCAAAATGCATGTGATTTCTACTGAAACGGTAAATTTGTGCATGTTTCTTAACTTTCTTTAACTAACTTGTAGATTCAAACTCTGGAAACTTGGGCCTCGGTGGTCTGCGGAGACAAAGCGGAGGTTGTTTGACGAAGAAAATAGCTGCACACATGCACATTCTATCACAGAGGATTTATCACCAACATTTGTGTAGAAGGTTGAATGAGCCAGACCTGTCCATATGTGGCCCTTTGTATGTATGCATGTGTGAGTGTGTGTGTGTGCCTGGGTGTCTGTGTTTCTGATGACACTTGGTGATGATTTTGAACAGCTGAGATGAGTTTGTGAACTGGACAACGGGGCAGCTGTACATCTCTGTCTTGGACATATACACACACACATACACACACGTACGCGCACACACGGGCACACATACTCACTGAAGCATATAAACAACAGTGGAATCCTGAGGGGCCGACCCCCTCGGGACCAAGCCACTCTGAGACCTTAATAAAGGACTTGTTGTTTCAGGAGGTAGGTTATATGGTTTCAGGTTCATATTGCAAGCCCCACTTTACAGACCATCACCATATGCTTACTGATCACATTTTCCTCAGTGGCATTTACATCTTAATAAACTTTATATTCCTTTTGACAGTTTAACTTCAGTGATCTTTGAAAAGACAGTGGTACACGAAGCATTCACAATTATTTCTTTAATGTTCTCAGGTATTTCTAGCACAGAGTATAAACTATTAATGGTGGTGTTGCAATTTGAATAGTGGTCTAAATAAAACCTGGTTGCCATTACTACCTCAGCCGGCCCGCAAATCTCAGCCAATGAAAGACTTTGCCTGGTCAGACCTCTTTTAAGAGAGGCGGGGCTTAAATGTGCTGAGGGGTCACAAGGAGTGATGTAACCTGTGTTTATTTTCAGCCTATACACGTAAATGTAGACACCGCCAAACACATTTCCCCTCAGAAACACACACAAGATAAATTAAAGATGTGTGCACACTGTTCGTCCCATGCATAGAGTTTGGCATACACTATTAAATATCACTGACAAAAACAAATAAAGCAGCTGACTAAATTTTGGACTTTGGGACCAATGCCATGTTCTTGCAGGCTGACTGTCTCTCTCGCTGTCTTCCTAGTTTGGTCACTTGATGACAAATGTGGCCACATGTATGTGTGCACACACACTCAGCAGCACTCTCTTATACACGCAATCGCAAATGTGCACAGGGGTTGGCTATGGCTGGGGAAGACAGGGTGATTAAATAGAGATAAGGTGTGTGTATCACTAGGGAAGACAAGTGGTAATGGAGGGGGGGGGGGGGGGGCAGAGACAGAAAGAGTTACAGAGACAGAGAAATTTAGTCATGGCCATTAATACTAATAGTGGCCTCCCTTCCCTTCCGTCAGCTGCAGCTGTTGATCACGCTGGTGTAACAGTGAGCTTTCTAGCATTGCATCACTCTCTTTCTCCTTGACTCCTGTGCCGTCCTGCATTACATTACCCTGCATGCACATGGATCTGGTAACCCCTATTCCACAACTTACTGCAAGGGCAATGCACTGGAAGCAGGGAAGCAGGGCTAATGCCCAAATAAGGTTATTAAAATACTTACGTGGCTTAGAAAGTGAGATTCTGTTGCTGTCTTGGGATTATATACAATGCTGTGCCGCGCATTATAGAGAATTGTATCACACAGCTTTGAAATAATCATGATTAAAAGCTAATAGAAAAAGAGAAAACTTACATATTTAAGCATATCCACTGCTATTTGAGAGCATGCTTGATTAACTAACATGCCAATAACCTGCTACCAGTTATTCACAGTATGTATGATGTATGCATAGCAAGATGTTGGTCATGTTCTGCATCTAGAGAACGCAGCAAAGGAACGATGTAACTTCCAGAGGAGCTCGTCCACTAGCATACATCAGAGACATTCCACCTCATCTGACACTCGTCCATGGAATTCTGCGAACTTTCCACACTATTCTCCCAGGCATTCTGAAGTGCCTGTCAAAAAGACTGGCATGCCTAAACATCAGGCACCTGTAAACACTTAAAACAAGCAAAAGAGGCTGCACTATTGGAAGAAGTGTTCTTCACATTGAATGGTTGTTGTTTTGAATTCCGTGTTTCTGTGGTGCTTGTGATTGTCACTGTTTGTGTTAGTGTGTGTGAAAATATCTTTTTATTTGCACTTCTGATAGGTGATAATTTGTCATAGATTTGTGCAGAGTCCCTTTCTCCTTTATGCTGGTATGACCAGTGTATGCAATCTATAGTTGACACCTATGTGTCATTCTTGGAACCCACTAAATACTTCAGATGACTTGAGGGTTTACTTGGCAACCAATAGCTGTTTTAAGACCATGGATACACTTTCGACCTGGACTGAACACAAAGTTTTTAAGTATCCAAAGTACATGGAGATGAATAAAAAGTCACTGAACCACGTGTATCATGTGCTCATTGTTGTGTGGCCAGTTATAAAGCTCAGTGACTTCATCCAAATCTATTTGTGTAACTAGATGACATTCTATTTAACCCTTTTTTTTCTACACCAGGATTACGATGGTCTGGAGTCATAATGATTTACTGTGTGCTTACAGCTTTTCTAGAATACACTCTTGCCCACTCTTTCAATTTTATATTCACAAATATTGACATAATTTACGCCTATATGTTTTAAATGAGCTTTTACATGATTACACCCATCAGGCAGTTAATTTCAGTAGTGTGTCAAATTTGCTCGAAAGCAATCTGTTATAGATGTTATGCGAGTGGGAGTCTTAATGTCGGTGATGTGGGGTGTTGAGAGCTGGTAAAGGTGGGAGGGGTTGACACAAAGATGTACAGGACAGGACACCCTCATGCTTGCTCCATAAACCTCACCACATTTTGCTACCGCAGCTGTGTGGCGCACGCAATGAAAGCGGAGAGGTGCGCTCCTCCTGGAGTGACTATGCCGAGTCTGGAACGGGCTTTTGTGCACTGATCGGCGACTAAGAAGCTCATTTCTCTCCGACATAATCGGAATGTTGACGCTCTCTCTCTCACTAAGGTCGGTTTCAACAGAGCATTGAAGACATCGCTCATTTACCATGAGCTGTTTGGATGTTATGTACCCAGCCTATGGACATTACGCACCGTACGCACCGACTGCTCCCGCTTTTATCAGTAATTTCCAGGTAAGAAATGAGCACATGTGGAAACGTTCTTGTGATAACTCTCATCTCAAGTATTGGAGCCTGTTGTGCTAGTTAACATATATGCTAATTTATGCAGCTTGTGCGTAAAAGCAAACAACCCGATTCAAAAAGTTATTTATTTGTTTAAGTTTGTGATTTAAGAATTAGTTTGATTTATTGAGATTTTTTCTTTATATCTGTACATGTCACACCAAGCACAGAAGTCACTCTGCACCCACTAATTAGCGCACAGCAGCTCGCACGCACACACAGATTACACATACCAGTGCTGCCTCATACAAAGAAGAGCATCGTGTCAAAATGTCTCATAGTCAGCTCCAGAACTGTCTTCTGCAACACCTGTTTCAACTCTCTCCCTGTTCTTCCTCTCCCTGCCCTCTAACACCGCGCCAGGCTGCCACAGGTCTAAATTGCACTTCATCTCATTGCCGGGATTTTATGGACACTCCCAACGGCCCCGAGGGGATGTCTGGGGGCCCAGGCACTGGAGGATCAACTTCCTCCTCTGCTTCATCCAGCTCTTCTTCCTCCTATACTCCTGCGGCTTCAAGGCCAGAGGAAGGCCCCAAAGAGAAGCAGGAAGCTCCCGAGGCAGAATACCTGACTTCTCGCTGTGTCCTCTTCACCTACTACCAGGGAGACATCAGCAGCGTTGTGGATGAGCACTTCTCCAGAGCCCTCAGCTCCTATATGGATGGTGAGGGCAAACGTCGGGCACCAGAACATCAGGGAACAGGTAAATTTCATTGCGCATGCAGAAAGATTATTTGACTCAAATAAAGGTCCTTGTACCAGCAATACAAAGTCATAGTGCATGTTTGGTGTTCTTAAAGAAACTGAAAACAAAAAACAAAAAAACAAAAGATTTCAAGATGTATTTATAAAAATCTAATTTGTGCAGTATATGCACAAAAATAAAGCAACACCAATCAATTTTATCAAATCTTTAATAGACTAATTCCCCATTTATTCTCGGCGTGTTTACATGACGATTGTGGGGTTTCTCCTTACTAAATCCTTCTCCTCCCATGTATTTAGGGAAGCACAGGTGGCATATTTGTCACAGTTGAGATATATTGCATGAGATTTTGAGGCCACACACGCTGAACTGACGGGGAGCGCAGCAGAGTGTCACACAGGTGATTTGGTCAGTTGAAGGGCTCATTTGTTCAAAAAGTTGTCCCTGGAAAGGTCGGGGCATCGGGTCAGGAAGGTTAGGAGCAGTTGGAAGTCAAATGGGTCTACTTTGACTCTTCCAGGCTAAAAGGTTTAAAAAAGGCACAAGAGAGTCAGCGTGCATTGTTGGTTTTGTCTGTGAAAATCCCAAAATCAGACCTAGCTATAGTCAGATTTCTAATATCTGCCTCCCGGGTCTAAATATGACTCTGTGATTGCAGTATGTTTTGGCAACTTTATCTCCACGAAACGCTATGGATTTATGAGTTTATTGTGGCTTATGTTATTACCAAGTACAGATAATCCATAACTATCATCCAGAGAATCCTATAAAAGCTCAAATTAGTGTTAAGTAAAGATGTTCCTTTCCTCTTTTTACAATTTTAAATCTGATTGCACCAGGATGTAAAGTAAACAAAAATGTCGAAATGAATATTTTAAAGATGCCAATGTTTTTTTTTACTGCCAGCTTGACGATATCATTTGGATATCCATGTAGGGCCTAAAGCGTCTACTCACTCTGTTGCTGTCGGTTTTAGTCTCTTTCCTTGTTGAGTCGGACGTCTTCATTTCAGCACCAGTGCACGCTCCCTGCCTCACAACAGATGCTATGTTTATACATGACCGTAAGCGCACAGCCTCGCTGCGGTATCCCCTTCAAACGTCTCCATGGCTGCCATTCTGTCTCTTGCTCCAGCTCTTGCCCCACAATGGTTGCTCAGTCAGTTGCCCACCTGCCAGTCAGATTTATATAAGTTGCGGTCATTGTGATATGGGCAGTGGGAAACGCTGCCTCTTGGGGGGATGCATAGGGCATTTTTTTTCATATGACTATCCCGAGGGAAAATTATACTGCTAAAAACATATAATGGCTTGCTGACATTCTGTCAAGGGCGAGGAGGGTGGGGGAGCAGAGAAAACAACAGGTGGGGGTGCAGGAGACAGAAGAGAGGGTTGGCGGGTGCTAGAACGGGACTAGATTTGCTTTTTGAGTGTGTGTGTGTGTGTCTGTGTTGGCTTGAGTGTGTTGTGAGACTTTCAAAAGTAGTGAGCTGACAGGAGAGTGAGAGATGTCACCACAGCAAGTGATTTAAGGCCCTGTGAGTCTTGGGCTCGTTCCAGGTCAGAGCGCCTGCCTTATATAGAATTCCAGGGTATAGGGACATCGCGCTTTCTACCTTTCTCTTTAGCGCTCACTCCCCTCTGTCTGCTCGAACGTGGTTGTGTTTATTTCTGTGTCTTGTTGGGGCTAGGACGGTGTGACAATATGATCCAATGGGGAAGATATCTGGGCCAGAGGGTGTAGCAGTCATGTGAGTGACATCTATGTTTTAGTATGTGTTGCTCCTCCTGCACAGCTCCAGCCTTTCCATTTGCTTCTATAAATCAATTCAATTCACTACGCAGTTGTGCAACAGTTCATGACTTGGCCTAAGTTTGACTGTTGT